TTTGGATATTAACGTATTTTATATTTATGTTTTTTACTTAATGTTAAATTTATTTACATTATCTCATATATTTAATAATGTTAAAAACCGATCAATCTGATCAAACCACACCGATCCGATTTAAATTGGATTGGTTTGGTTATCATATAATAATGGATTGAATTAGTTTAAAAATTTTACTAACTGATTAAATTGGATTGGATTAAAAAATGTTAAAATCCGAACCAAACCACACCGCGAACACGCCTAGTTGCATATATATAACTAAATTGAGTCAAAATTAAGAGTGATTTAGTTTAACTGTAGTTATATATATATAGAAATACTGTTTGAGTAGATTTTTTGTAAAGGTGTTAAATTATAAATTAATAGAAAATAGACTAATAATAAGAATATTAAAAATTTGATAAAAACTAGTAAATTCAAAACCTTAATAGCAATAGTTCAGCTCCAAAAGTTTATATGTTTGTAATTTCACTTGTAACTTTTCAAGAGCTGAAAACAAATTTCATAGAAATCAAAAGTACCTTTAAAAAAGAAAGGTCAACTCATCTTCAACTCTTTTACAACAAAGAAGAAAATAATAGAACCAATTTTTTCGGCCTTCAAAAATAGAACTAATTTAATAATGCTTTATTGTGCTGAAATGGTCTCACTGGCCCAAAAAATGGCTAGAATGGTCTCAAAGCCCATAGAGTCTACCATAGTTGGTAAATAGATCTGGGCCCGTCACATTATAAATCATGGGGTCAAGCAAACACTTTGGGCCCTATTATTTTTGGCCCTCAGTTTGTTGAATTTACAGAAGCCTATTATTATCTACAAAAGACAAAGAAAGAAAATAATATCCAATCCATTTTTTGAATTTTTTTCCGTTAACCAGCGCCAATCGCCATAAATATCGGGTCCATTTTCTCTCTCCAAACAACGTATAAAAGATCTTTCAACCTTTGTCACTGAAGTGGTGAACGGAAAACAGTAACCATGAACGCCGGAGCTCTGTTCTTCTCTCCTAATTTCCACTCTCTCTGTAAACCCAAAAACCCACCCGAAATTTCCACCAGGAACAAAGTATCCCCTGTTGGGACCCAATTCAGGGTCGGGGCCCACAATCGGTTCCATGTTTTCCGAGTTTCGGTATGGAATTCGGGCAAGAGAAGGAGCGGTAAAGTATACGCAGATGTTAGAGAAATACCAGAGTCGATACGGTAATCGGTGAAGTTTAAATTTGGGTTAGAAGATATAGTTTTGAGTGCGGAGGATTTGGAGGGTTCGATCCCGCGCTCGGAGCAGTTCCCGAAACGGTGGGTTATCGTGATTCCATGTTTTTCGGCATTTTTGCTGTGTAATATGGATAGAGTAAGCTTCCGCTACATTTTTCTTCTTAATTTAGGTTCCCATGAAGGAATTTGTTAATTCTTCTTTTATCAAATTTGAATAGATTTTGTTTTGCAGGTAATTATCCATGTCGGCAGAGTTCAATTGGAGTCCAACTACTGTTGGTTTGATACAGTCATCTTTCTTCTGGGGTTGCCTTCTTACTCAGGTAATTCAATGTTTTCTTTTGAGATCACTTTCAGTTCTTCTCTGAATGAGTATACTGTTTTGGGTTTTACTCTGATTGTGGTCGTCAGTGACAGATTGCTGGTGGCATATGGGCTGACACGGTGGGTGGGAAGTCAGTCCTGGCAGTTGGCGTAGTTTGGTGATCTATTGCTACTGTTCTTAGTCCTGTTGCTGCCAAAATTGGGTTGCCATTCCTACTTGTTGTTCGTGCTTTCATGGGAATTGGTGAGGATGGGTCTTTAATTTTCTGGCAACTATAACTTCAATTTTCTGTGATTATGTTTATTTCGAAAACTCCATTGTGGAACCTGTTTTCAAGAGAGGACGGTCATTAGTTTTTTTCAGTTTGTATTGACCTGATCCCCATGGTATGTAATTGAAGGTTTGTTTTTGTTTCAGGGTGTTGCTATGCCTGCCATGAATAATATTCTGTCGAAAAGGCTCCCCGTAGCTGAAAGAAGCAGATCATTAGCTGTAGTATACAGTGGGATGTATCTGGGCTCAGTTACTGGTCTGGCGTTTTCACCTTTCTTATTACATAAGTTTGGATGGCCATCAGTCTTTTTCTCCTTTGGTTCTCTGGGAACAGTCTGGTTTGCTGTATGGCTAAACAAGGTAACCATTATTCAACTACGGCAATCTTTAGTTTTGCAGAATTTTGACTTTGCTGAAATTGTAATAAAAGTTCACATCGTGCACATAATATGTTTGATTCTCAACCTCTTGCAGGAAGATATGAACATTCTGAAAAAGGAAAAGAGAAATTTGTAAGCCCTGGTGTGAACTGTGAAGTAAAAGAGAAAACATGAACCAAAGGAGAAGATGGTGTGGAGAGAACTTACTCCCATGGAACATCTCCAACAAGCATCCAATCACCATCTTTGTCTTCATAGGTAGGAGTATAGTCAGATCCATGGTACCCTACCCTCTCTGAGTAGGCACCAATGGTGAGCTTGAACATATTTTCCAAAGCCTTGAGGAGCTCTGAGTAGCTGTTGTAAACCCTAAGATCGATCTTCCTCAAATAAGGAGCTCCATCCATGCTTACTTTCATAAACCTCCCGACTCCTTCACCTTCAT